ACATGTTGTCTGACAAAGGCGGTAAGGGATTGATGTTTTGTTGTATTGGTTTGTATGAGAGAGAGTTACATGAAGGTAAGTGGTGGAACGATAAAAGTTACAGGAAGTGTATTGTTTTCGAGAAAAGCTTGCGCTATTGGTTGTTAGGTGGAGAGAGTCTGTAGAAGGGAAATGTAGACCCTTTGCAAATGATTAAATAAAATAAAATTCAATTTTTTTTAATAAAGCAAATAAAAATCAAATGATTATTTATTTGTCTCAATTTCTTTTTCTTGACGTTTTAATAAAAAAAACAAAATAAAAGGAATTAAAAATAATAAAATCCGGGCGCGAAAATATAAAATGAACGTATAAAAATAATCCACGGGAAACAAAGCTTTATAAAATAGACAGTCGCAAATCGAATCTCGTAGTAAAAAGTAACCGAATAAAAAGACTCAAACAAATAGTTACATGCCAAAACCTGAAAAAATTGTTCACTAGAAAAGTGTTAATCGATTAACACTGTGTTTTTTTATAGCAAAAATCTACCTTTTTTAAAGGGTTAATCGATTAACACTTTTGCACTGGAAAAATGTTAATCGATTAACAGTGCTTCAGAATGTCATTTTTGTGCATTTTTCAAGTATGATTGACATTCTTTTCTCATTCAACTCCCATGAATTGTTATGATTGATTTTTATGGATGTTTTATGAGTCATTTAAATTATGTATGAAGCATGCTTGTAAACTTACCGATGCTCGATTTTATCGATTACGCATTTGTTCACATTTTTGGCATTGTATGATCATGTTCATTCTTGCACATTCTTGCACATTCTTTAATCACATGTTACATGATTTGTGATGCATACTAAATGACATTTAGTACTGTTTTGCACATCCATTCATGTATGCATAAATGTTGTTCCTCTTTGGACTAAGCTTAATCTTGTATAATCAATAATTTACCCTTTTGCTTTAATAATTTTTCATCCCTTTGGAAAATTGTTAGCACATCACTCCTTTTTGATTAATTAATCAAAACTTTGTTTCGATTAGTTGATCTTCCCTCTTTCTTATCCTTTGTATCTTTTAGAGCTTTGCCATCTCCTTCCCCCACGGAGTTGAAGATTTGCAACGCGTTGGAGTATTGTACAAATTTGCGCTGCTAAGTTGTCAGTTTCGTCTCCCACACTACATTTTGGTGTTAGAGAAGGAATGAGAGTGGAGAATTCCTACACTCATTTTGATTATTTTTGGTAGGGGACGAATGACTCTGTGCCTGGAATAGTCATATCTATCTCCTTACTATGGTATCCTCTGTTTTCCAGCCGAGTCGATCCTTGATCACTTGTACCCTAATCTCCTGTATTTTGATTTAACTTCCTCCTTTCAATTCCACTTTCCTTTCTCTTATGGCCAATCACCATTCTTGGTTTCCCCAGAGATTTGTAATCAGTCCTTTCTTTGGCTAATCAACCACTTTTTGGTTAAAGCGAAATTCTCTTCTTCCCCAGCGAAGTCAATCCTTTTTCTTTAGTTAAACACAATCTTCCTGTTATATCGAATCCCTAGCGGAGTTTGCAACCTTATTTTGGTTCCATTCTTCTTGTTTGGTTAATCACCGTCTGTCAATTAAAACACCAATTTATTCTTTTCTCAGTTAACCACAGTCCGTCTGTTAACATACTGAGCTTATTTTGAGTTAATCACATTCTCTTGGTTAATCACTCATTCTTTTTAGTTAATCATTGTCCGTCTGTTAAACACCAGAACCCCCTGCAGTTAGCAACCTTTCCTTGATTCAAATACTCACACCTTTAGGTTAGTAACCTTTGTTTGGTTGAAATACTCTTTCCTTCAGCCGAGTGCTGCTTATTTAGTTAATGTATCGTCCTTTGGGTCACAACATTCGCTTGGTTCCGCACCCGTCTTTTGGGTCACAACCTTCGTTTGGTTTCACACCCGCTATTCTGGTTGATCACTATCCTTTGGTTAAAACCAACTCCTTTCTTCTTTGCAGTTAACCATTGTTTATCAGTTAACACACTGGGTTTTCTAGAGAGTCAAACACCTTCTTTTGATTCAATACTCTCTCATTTTGGTTTATCACAGTCCATCTGTTGACACCAAATTTTTTGCTCTCCCCACAGAGTTTTGCTCTTATTTTTCTTCAGTTAATCACTGTCTGCCAGTTAATGCACCGAGTCCCCTGTGGATCTTTATCTTTATCTCATTTCTTATCCTTTATCCCTTTATTCTTCTGGTTTCGATATCATTCTTTTGTTTTATCCATAGTGGAGTTATCACTTCTCTTTTGCGTTCCTCATCAGGGTTTTCTTTTGCCTTTCTTTCTTGGTTTTAACACCATTTCTTTTGCATCCTCAGTTGGGTCTTGCTTTCTCCTTTCGCTCTTGATTTTGACACCGTCTCCATTTCTTTTTCTTTCTCTGTCCTAGTTTCCCGAACTACGTAGGCTCTGACTTCCTCATTGCACTATAGGGGTACGTAGGCACAGGATTGTGAAATCTTGGCGAGCCACCTTCTTTCATTCTTCTTTCTCTCTGGTCCGTCCAAATCTTCTTTTCTTTCTTGATTCCATGAACTACGAAGCTCTGACTTCCTCATTGCATTATGAGGGTACGTAGACACGAAGGTCCCAATCCTCCGCAAGCAGTTTCTTTTTCTTTTCTCTATCCTCTTCTTTTTTTAGTTAGAAGTCTTTAGATAAATAACTCATCCAAGTCTAGAAGCAAGCGAAATGGTTCCCGTCGAGTACGACGAATGAGTAAGGTGCTAGTACATTCCTTTCGCATAACCGACCCACTTACCCGTTTCTCTTCTCTTTGGGTTTTATCGATATTTTTCCTGTCCTGTCCTTTTGGGATTAAATAAAGTTCGATGGCGACTTTGTTGTATCTTTGAGTGTGCAATTCACTCAGGTTTAATCCCGCTAGTTTTAGTATGCACTGACAGTGTAAAATAATTTTACAATGTCATTCAATAAAAATTAATCAATCTGTTATATCATACCAATAACTTAAAATTTACAGTCTAATGTGACGGAATGTATAAAAATTATTAGTTGACAATGTAAAATAATTTTCCAGTAAAAATGCATACCAATTAAATTCTTACATTAATATTGTAACAAAATGGTCCCTTAAGTTAAGTGTTGCAAATAAGAATCACACGGTTTTGCAAATTCATCTTCAACATTTGAATATATTAAATAAAAAATTGCTAGAACTTACCATCCTGTTCCAATGTTTGGTCCATTCTTGGTTAAGTGCAAGTTACAACATTTTTTCACACCAACAAGTGAATTTTAAATATCTTTAAAGATAAACACTTGAGTAGTTGCTTTTAGAATACAAAAATAACAATTGTAGTGTTTACTAGTGAATTATGGAATTTCTAGGATTTGAAAATTTTGAGAAAAATTGTTGTCATAAAAGGAAGAAGATGATAACTCATATGCATACTTGTAAAAAATATATGTTGGAACTATAAAAACGTCCATGTAAGATGAAAATTTACATGTCATCAATTTTGTAAAGAAATTTATGTTTTTGGTCAACGTTGCAAATGTTTAGTGACTAAAAGGGCTATTTTGAAAATAATAAAAAAGACCAAAATGTTATTAACACAAATAAAAAGACTATGAGATACATTTGTTATAAATATAGATTGAAAAACAATATTCCATTCGAACTGAATCATAAATAAAAATAATTCATAATATTTTAAATGAAATTTTAGTAAATATTAAGTAAATAGTTCAACTAGTATATAACAGTTGAGTATAGTAGGTGTTATTAAATTTTTAATTAAAATATTTATTTATATATACATTAAGAGAAAATTGGTAATGCATTAAGAGAAAATGAGTAATACAATTATTTTTATTCTGTCGATGATCTTGAATCTCGCTACATTATATTGATATTTAAAAAAATAAAATAATGATATGACATACTGTTAATTTTTTATTGGATGATAGTGTAAAATTATTTTACACTGTCAGTGCATATCAATTAAATTCATACATTAATGTAAACAAGTAATTAATATTTATAAATAAATAACTTAAAAATAAAGTAAATATTTTTTATGGTATATAGTCAAATTGAATGAATTTTGATTTACTTAACCTATAAGGATTGGTAATATAATTGATTTCTAACATAAATATTCAATTATATTGTATAGTATCATAATGGTGATTTAATTATAATATATAAACAAATAATAAAATATAGTTGATAATTATAATATTTATTGCCATTTTTCATACTATGTTTTATATATGTTGTTTATTTTGACTCAAAACTATCATTTATGTTAGTCTTAATTACAAGAGTTTTTATATATGTTTTTTATTTTGACTCAACTATCAATTACATTTTGAGATTAAAGATAGTACATTAGTTTTATTATAATATTTTATCATATTATATAAATATTTTAAAATTAAATATATGACTTTGCAGGATACATGTCATTAATTAATTGACAGTGTAAAAATATTTTACACTATTAATACATATTATTTTTTCTCTTATATTTTTTAAGACTAATCACATGTAATAATTTCGATAATATTACATTTCTATTATATATATAAAAAAAACTCATATTTCAATTTAAGATATTTACCTTGTCTATATATATTCTTTAAAATTTTCATTTCATTTCACAATTTGAGAGAATCTAAACTTCTTCCATAAGATCTAAGATTATTCTAAGAGGTGCGTTCATATTTTCTTTATATTCAATACATGTTTTGTTTTTCTTTTAGATTTCATTTTTCTACTTGTTACTTAAATTTTTGGCGATTTTAAATGTCAAAAGCTTTAAAAAAATTTATGAAACAAATTATTGATAAAAACCAACATCTATGATATATTCTCAAATAGATTGCTCAATTTAATAAGATGATTATATCCTTATAAAAATTTGATTATGTAAAAAGATATTTGAATCTTAATAATAACTCATGCAGGAATCATTAAGTCATGAAGAATAATAAGTCAAATAACAGCTACTCGAATGATCACTTGTTGTATGAGATTCTGGTAAGAATCTTCACAGCTCTTCATGTTGCAGACCTTGCTAAAGCCTCTATGGTTTGCAAAGCTTGGAACGTGGCCAGTCGTGCCCCTGAACTTTGGAAAACACTTGATCTAAATAAACTAGGCATGGATGTGCCATTGAGACCATATGCTTGGTTTGGTGAACATTCAAGCAATAAAATGACTCAAATCTTGAAGTATGCATCAAGTTTGAGTGGTGAAAATATAAGTTGCTTAATATTTAATTATTATGTCTACTTCACAGATGCACACTTAATCTCGATTGCGGAAAGGTAACATCTTAAATTAATCTTTAACTTATTATTTATTTTTATAATATATTAAAGTGCTTTTTTTTTTAATGTGTAGGACTCCGAATCTCAAAAGGTTAGTGCTTCCAATAACCGGCAACATCTCAAAATTTGGAATTGAAATCGCATTGAGGTCATGGGAAGGCATTGAGTCCATAACGATTACCGAAATGTTTAATAATGTTGACTTTTTTGATACACTTGGAAAATATTGCAAGAACATCGTTGAGCTAAAGTTTACATCCTTCTTTGAACAATATCAAGCTGAAGTTATAGTTAAATACATTCCGAATCTAAGGACATTAAGTCTTCGACATTTTATGGTAAGCATGACAGGTTTATGTCATGTGTTGAATAACTTGAAACATTTGGAAGCAGTAAATTTATGTCATTGTATTATTACTGATTTATTAGATGGTAGTTTTCGAGACTACTCTATTGAAGATCTACGAAAATGTGTGGATTTCTCGTGTGAGCTTATAATTTGCAAAAATAATTCGTGTCTTAGATGCACAGGTTGGTTGAGGAATGGTCGAGGAAGACCATCGTATGAAATCTTGGAAGATATTTGGCGTGAAGATGAGATAAAGTCTCTTGCTCATTAGAAAACTAGTTATATTTTTAAGATTGCTTGAAGCTCAATAATATGAACTCTTAGAATATTTTTAAATATTTTGTTCATTTCGAATTAGAACCGTGTTTGGAGACATTGTATGATTTACTTTTGCTTAGTCATTAAGGTTATCTAGAAATAAAATAGTATTTTAAGATATGGTAGAAAATTATTATTATGTTGAGTTCAAATTAAAAATTTAATATTATGTAAACATAAGTCAAATTTAAAATATATAATAAAAGAAGTTATATTATTTAATTGATAAATTACACTCTTTTTAGTAAAAATTAATTTATGAACAATTAAATAATTGTTATGAATAATTATTCTCATTTTCTTTTATTTAGAATATAAAATTGTTAATTTTTTAATGTTTAAGATAATTGTTAATTTTCTAATGTTTAAGTTAAATTCAAGTCATTGATAATTGTTAATTTTTTAATGTTTAAAATACTAAAAAAAAAATTAAAATTATCATTTAATAGAATATTTGTCTTGTGCATGATTTTTATTATAAAGTATAAATTAAAATATGACTAGACAAATTAATGTAAGTCATTCAATGTCTCCAAAGATAATTTTAATTCAAAATAAGCAAAATGTTAATGAAACTAGTCCCAACAAAAAGGAAATAAAAATATTATTGATGTTTCAAAATCATAGGTTTATTTTCGATCTTCAACATGCATTAATAGAATTAATTAATGAGATTTTATTTCGTCTACACGCCACAAATCTTCCCATAATAAATATGGCACTCTGTATTCATCATTCTCATACTTTTTATCGCCACACAATTTTCTAAATTTGTAACAAGCTTTTAAGCACATGATATAAACATGTCATGCTTACCATAAAGTGTCTAATACTTAATATTTTTAGATTCGGAATTTATTTAACAAAGGCTTCATCAAGAACTTTGTTAAATGGACATGTGAACTATTTTAAAAATTTTAAAATCTTCAATCTTTTTTATTTTTTAAAAATTTTAATCCTCTTTATTTTTTTTAACTGGAAAAGATAAAGTTTTAAATTTCATTCCCTCCCATCTTTCTCTATTTTAAAAATAAAATTTTTTAAATTTCTCCCTTATTTTTTTCTTATGTTTTTAATTTTTAATTTCTCCTTAATTTTCATTACTTTTGATTAATCATTTTAAATTTTCACTTGTTATAACATAACCTAGACAAATAGAATCTAAAAGAATAAGTAAATATCATCATCTCTCTCTCTCTCTCTCTCTCTCTCTCTCTCTCTCTCTCTCTCTCTCTCTCTCTCTCTCTCTCTCTCTGTGTGTGTGTGCGTGCGTGCGTGCGTGCTTGCCTGTGCGTGTGCGTGTGCGTATGTGTGTGTGTGTGAGAGAGAGAGAGAGAGAGATTAGCATTAACAATAATTGGGAGCACTAAGGGCCTTCTATACAACATATCCAAAAAATAATAGGAAAAGCAAAACAACTTAAAAATAAGCTGAAAAATGAAAATGCGCCCAGTGTAACCGGTTACCACATTTTGGGTAACCGATTACCACAAATTCCAGTAGTCACCTCATTCTGATCAAAACAATGGTAACCAGTTACCATATCCAGTAACCGGTTACACCAACTTGAAATACAAAAAAAAAAACAGCTTCTAGCACACCACCTTATTTCAGTTGGTCCAAGTCCAGCATGCTCAAGCTCATCTTAAACCTCTTGAACACCTCATTTGTTACCCCCTTGGTCAAAAAATCCACTACTTAGTCTTTGTTTCGACAATACCCCAATCGTAACTTGCCTTCACTCACTAGCTCCCTCAAATAATGAAACTACATCTCTATGTGCTTGCCCCTTCCGTGTGCAGTCGGATTCTTCGCAAGGTTGACCGCAAAAACATTATAACAAGAAGTTTAGGAGTCTCACCCTCATTGCTACCCAACTCCTTCAATAAATTTATAAGCCACATGGCTTGACATGCACACAGCGAAGCTGCAATGTACTCGGCCTCACAAGACGAGAGTACTACCACCGGTTCCTTCTTCGAACACTAATAGATTGGTGTCCTACCAAACATAAAGATGTATCCATCCGTTGACTTTCTATCATCCTTATCATCACACCAATTGGAATCGGTGAAACCAAGTAAATCACATTTTTTGCCCGTATCTGATGTCGAAAAGAGAATTCCACAATCAAGAGTTCCTTTAACATGTCTAAGGATCCTCTTGATCGCTGCCAAATGAGATACCTTAGGTCTCTCCATGAATCTACTAGTAATACCGACACTAAATTCGAAGTCCGATCGTGTATTGCATAAGTACCACAATGATCAAATCAATCTCCTATATTGAGTTGGATCTACATCTTGTTCATCCTCACTCTTGGACAGCTGCAACCTTGCCTCACATGGTGTAATGGCTGTATTACAATGCTTCATTTCACACGTCTTCAAGATATCAAGAACATATCTTCTTTGATGCGTGAGCAGTCCCATTTTTGACCTTTGGAACTCTATGCCAAGGAAATACATCATAATGCCAAAGTCTATCATCTCAAACTCATCGATAAGTTCACTCTTGAACTTAGAGATACTTCTCTCACAGCTGTCGGTAATTAATAGATCATCTACATACAAGCAAAGGATGACCACACCATCATTTGCATCTGATCTCACATAAACTCTGTGTTCGGACACACATCGCTTGAAACCAATGTCAACAAGAAAACCATCAATGTGTTTGTTCCAAGCTCTTGGAACTTGTTTCAATCCATATAATACTTTATGCAATTTGTAGTACTTCATCTCTTGATTCTTTACTATAAATCTGGGAGGCTGTTTAACATAAACCTCTTCATCAAATGGAACGTTCAAAAAGGCAGATTTGACGTCCATTTGAAATATCTTCCAAATTGTTATTTGTAATGCCAACAAATAATCGGATGGTTTCTAGCTTAGCCACATATGCAAACACCTCCTCAAAGTTTATACCTTCACGTTGCTAGAATCCCTTTACTACCAATCAAGTCTTATGCTTGATCACCTCGCCTTTGGGATTTGACTTCACTTTATAGATCCATCACACACCAATTGACTTCTTTCCAAGCGATAAATCAACCAAATCCCAAGTACCATTTTTTTCAATAGATTCCAACTCCTCATTCATTGCACAAATCCACTTTGGTTCGCTGACCGATAAATTAGCAAGTGGTCTAACTTTTATCGATGTAGTAATAATTGGGGTTTTCCCAATATCGATCTCTGAGGACTGCGTGCAATTTTTCAAGTACAAATGTTATTTCAATCAAACAAAATATCCTTGGGTTATGTTTGAGGTTTTTAAAAGGAAAAAGCAGAATGATAAAATTAATTTAACGAATATGAGAAAATATGCTAGGGGAAGTGTATGAATTGCTTAGTACGAACCCTGAAGTACTATCAACGAGACATGCCTCAAACCTTAATTTTTATTGAACCTCAAAAGTATTTTTCTTAAATTCCTTAACTGAAAAACCTTTGATATTCTTCCTTGACCCTAATTCCTTAGCAGTCAAGGAAGGACATCAAGCAATAGTTCTGACAAAGGTTTATTACAATCATTACAGGATATCCCTATTCCTAGGCAATATTTACTGTAATGTATTATACAAATTCAACGATCGGTTTTTCAGGCCAAATCCCTAATCGTAAATTGTTCCCAATTTGTACGATCTTAAAAGTTTAAACAATTTGCATAACAAAAATATTAAGGGAAGAAACAAAATCTCAATTATTAATTCAACAGAGGTTTATTACAACATAATTTAGGGACACCCCCTAGCAATGGGGGGTTTAGCTATGCATAGTATTCAACAAAAACAACATAGAAAATAGAAACATTACAAGACTTGTGGAATAAAGTTGATCTTCAATTTCTTTCGATCATGAAAATCTCCTCGTCTTCCCAATTCTCCAGAGCTTTCCAATTTAAGTTGTATTTTCTTTATACCATCCAAAGTCCTTTTTCTTTTTCCAAAACACGTCTTAATTAGTCTCGGGTCCAACCCAGCAAAAGGAAAATACTCAAAATACCCTCATGGATCACAAATGCCCAACATAAAAAAATAAATAGAAGATGAAGCGTTTTAGCCAACACGGGTCGTGTCAGCTGACACGGGCGGCTGTGTTGGCTCCCTGTTATATTGCACGAGAATTATCTTTGTTCCAGGTGTGCTAACACGGGCCGTGTCAGCTGACACGGGCAGCCATGTCAGCTCCCTGGTTTCATCCTATTTTGCATCTTCTGAGCACTTCCTAACACGGGCCGTGTCAGGTGACACAGGTGGTCATGTCAGGCTACTGGTCCACTTCAAAACTTTTCTGAATTCTTGCTATTTTACCCGGTTTTTGCTTCGATTCTTCTCTATTGCTTACCTGAACCTAGAAATAGTGAAAATACCAAACCGACGCGTAAAATGCAATAAAAACAAATAAAATGCGACGAGACATATCAAATGATTAACTAAAACTAATGGTAAAATAATGTATAAAAACCACTGACCAAACTCCCCCAAACTTAAACCATTGCTTGACCTCAAGCAACCAGCTCGGATAATTAATTTTCAGATCAAACAGCATATCAAATGAAGGATGTATGAATGTAAGGTGTGTCGGTACTCATACGTGAGTCTTTGTTCTGGTCGGCTAAAACTAGTTTCCTTGGTAATCGTTCGTTAACAAAGGTATTCCACAAACACACACCGCGGTAAAACCACTGAGCTCAATCCCCCTTTTGGCCACCTCTCCAACTATGCTTTGGGCTTAAGTTTTTTCTTTAATTTTCTACCCCTTTCATTCGGATAATCAGATTAAGGCACTTTTGATTGCTTTCCTTCACATGTACAAAATTCGATCGAGACTTTTTCCATGGCACCTTTATTTTTTTCTCGCTCATTGGCATTTGTTAGTCCCCTTTGGGACGACTATAGAGATTCAACCACCGTTAGGATAAGTAACTGGGTGAGGGTTACCCAACTTA